TTAAACAATGTAAAAGTTCACCAGCGCTTTTCTGCTCGTTCAGTCGCCTCCTGCAGGAAAAAACGCCGCCGATTTCCATATTTCAGCTGCAAACTGTCATTTCTCCTCCAAGGCTCAGCAACTGTTCCCCGCTCACCCAACGCATGTTGAAAGATGTGTGTGTGCGTGTGTGTGTGTGTGTGTGTTTGGGCGTACTTCAAATGTCCTTTATGACGGGATATATTGCCGTTATCTCGCGCTGCTCCTCTGCGTTGCCATGACAACGCAATTAGCGTTGCAGGAAGGAGAAAGCATCCTCCTCTTCTCCACCTGATGTGAATCTCAGCGTTTTGTTTTCAGAATTCACATTAAAGGAACGACCTAGGACGCGGCGGCCCGCCTGAGAGCGCCGTTGCCCAAATACAAACCCCGCCCGCCGGCGGACCGCGGATGTGAAGAAGTACCTCACAGCGTCTCTCGGAACTCGGGTGGCATTTAGGAATCGCGTGTTTTGTCCGACGGAGAATTTGAAGAAGACGAATATTTGGCTCCGACCCCGAAGGCGACGAATTACCAGCTAATTAAATTCTCCCGTTTATCAGAGGATGAAAGCATGGAGGGGGGGGGGGGGGTAGCTGCTGCTGCTGCTGCTGCTGCTTGGTGAAGTTCTACGTCCACACTGAAGAAAGCAGGTTTTTCATTCAAGTTCCTCCAGTTACCTATACGGGGTTGTGGGTAATGAACTACTTTTGGCCGCTTACATTCAGTTCCGACTGCGACCACCAGGGTTGTGGACGCTCGGTCCAAAAATGGAAGTCTTTTTTGTTTGTTTTTTGCCACTTTACGGCCTCAAAAAGTTCTTAGTGTGGTTTCATACTTTGGCTCCTCTTCGTCATTCGGCCTCTGCTGGTTCCTCTTGGTCTGGTTCTCCGTCGAGTCCTCGCGGACACCCTCTGTGTGTTGGCCCGGGCGGACTTCAGCGCCTGCAGCCAAGCTGGCATTTAGCTGAGAGCCCACATGGAGGCTTCAGAACTTCTCCTCAGCTTCCACTCCGGCACCTGCAACCACCAACAAGTAGTCGCATTTGTCCGCTTCAAACGCGCTCTGGCCGTCCGACGTTTCCTGTTTGGAGCTTTCAAGGCGCCGCGAGACAATTTAAAAATAACTTTATTGATCATCGGGGGTTGTGATACGCTGACGCCCCCCTCGGCTCCGTCTTCTTTGGAGATGTCGCCTCTTGTAGTTCTGTTTTCATTACATCATCACGGTTAATTAAGTAACAACGTCGGGGCCGATTTAATCATCGGAGCTCAGTGACGACGTGGAAACAGTTTGAGCTGGAGACTGACCCTGTGCCCCCCCCCCCCCTCCTCCTCCCTCTATCTCTTCTTCTTCGTGGACTTTCTCTCGCCCAGATAACTTCCCACAGATGGCTCATCAGAAGCGCTTCATCGAGCGGAAGTACAGGCAGGAGCTGAAGGAGATGAGGCGCGAGCGCGAGCGGCAGGAGAAGGAGACGGACGAGCCGAAGGAGGAGGACGAGGACGAGGAGGAGGAGGACAGGAAGTGACGCCGAGGCTTTCTCGGGGGGCGGGGGGCGCAGGTGATGGTTTAGCACTGGTTGATGAAGGTCCACCTGAGCCCAGAGTCACGGTGAAATGTGAGGGGGGGGTTGTGTTGTTTAGTAGTGTAATCTTTAAATATTGAGTTGTCTTTTAAATCCAAAAACGCAGCAAAGAAGGAACGGAAACAAGTTTTTAGATAAAGTATGAAATGTTAAGTAAACCATCAAAGCTAATGTTGTAAATAAAGTTTCAGAAATCCCTTTTGTTTTTCTTGCGTTTATTATAACCGGCTCTGCTAAGAGGCCTAATCTGGAAAAAAAGGCTTTAGTCAATTATATTCAATCACTACAATATCACCATCTGTCTCACATCTGCCACTCATCCTCTAATAATCAAAATGTGATGTTTTTTTCTTTTTTTTTAAACCTCTCCCCAAATCCGATTGGCTGCCTGACAGATATTAATTATAGATTGTTTAATTAACAATTTCCTGGGCCCGGAACCCTCTGGATGAGTCACTATCTGCCGACTAGAGTTGAGTCTTTTGTCTTATTGTAGATAAATGATAAATACCTGTGAGGATGGAACATGTCTCGCTGCAGATAACAGTGAAATCATCTTTCACAAGCAGAAGGTTAAAGGGCGAGTCGCACCTGTCCGGCGCCCTGAAGAATCCCTCAGAAGAGCAGATGATGATTTTGAAAGATGTTTAATGTTCATATAAATATTCAGTACAAAATATCACGTTTTACAAAGCAGATTGATGAGTGGGCCCGTTACACTAGCACGACCTCCCCACTTGTTTCTACGTTGACACGACTCCAATCACATGGCCACCGACATAACATACCAGAGCGGGGCGGCGGGGGGGGGGGCGACCGCCGTGTCTACACACCAACAACCACGGATCTACTGCATCTGGAGGAGGACGAGGACGTCGGGGTCACCGGCTAGACGCCTCCATGAGAAGGAGAAACCAAAGGAGCAGGAGTGGGCGGAACTGATCACGGTTTAGTGGGCGTGGCCTCGGGAGGAGGGAGGGAGGAACGGGGGCGGTGCCCGGTGTGTGTTACCACGGTTTCAAATGTCACTCAGTCCTTTGGCTTTGTCGGGGGCGGAGCTTCTTCTTCACGCCGGCCTATCAGGCCTCGAACAGAAGCCGTCCTCAAGTCCGCCGCGCTGCCTTTGTTTGTTTGTTTGTTTTGGTGATTTGATGATTCTTTGTTGTGTGAAAACTGCATTCACGTTGTTGCTCCCCCGACTCCGCCCGAAGGTCAGGGGCCGCCGGGGTCCCTGCACGGAGAAGGAAAGACCCCAAGGAAGTCCGCTGGGGGGACAGGACCTGCAGCTCGGAATGAAGGTCAACGGAGAATACTGGTGTATTTTTTAAACTTTTTTACTTCTTGGCACCCCCCCCCCCTCGTTATTCTGTTAATACACGTCGACTGTGTTCTTAATGCTTCGGGTAATGTGGTAAATTTAAAATGTTATTTAGGTGATTTAGAATCTGACCCCAAACTAAAACGAATCCTTGTTTTTTCATCGTTTTTATGATTTAAGGCAACTTTTTTGATTCTTTGATGTTTTGTCACACGGAGGTTAAACGCTGAACAAATGGATGCAGAACGAGTTCAAACACGCGTGTAATCTTTCTTTAAATGGCCATCTGGAACATTGATGACATAAAATACTCAATCTTAACGGCTTGATGAGCTGTCACGTTCCAGCCGCTCTGATTGGACGCCGTGGCTTTGGGCTCGGGCGAGTTCATTGACCTTTGACTTGCAGAGAAAATAATTTCCAGAGGAGCAAACAAAGTCCAACAAACGGCGTATTTTCCTCTAACCGAGCCAATCAGAGTGGTGCATTCGCGTCGACATGTCAGAAAATAACACTTTTATTATCGGCTGCAAGGAGGAAAAACTGATTGTAAAGACATCCGGCTCAATGAGGAACGTTTGGTAATCGGCTCACCGCAAACCTAGATGGAGATCAAAATCACATCCTACAAAATAAGAGTCTAACTGCTGTGTTTGTAGATATATATTCCATATTCACCGACCACAGTTTTATGTAAGCCACGAGTAACACGCATTGGATGACGCCGTCCGTCCGTCCGTCTTCGGGACGGACGGACGGACGGCTGGAAAAGAGAACCACTGCACAGCGAATCGTATCATGTCACCGCACGCACACGAGCAAAGAGAGAGAGAGCGAGGACTCGCAACACGCAGCCTGCGTTCCTCCCAGAAACACCGGCGAAGACAAAGCTGCTTGTTGAACCTGTCCTCCACCGCAGCTTTGGAAAAATAAGCCCGAAAAGAAGAAGATATCGTTTTAGACACGTCTGGCTGTGACGCTCACCAAAATAAAAAAGGTCTCTCGTCGCTGCAAGAAAACCACGCAACTAACACTGACGGGACACACGGAGCCGAGGAGTCGCCTGCGTGCCGGCGCTCGTTAGGAGTCGCTGTCGTCGCCCCCGTACATGTCCGCCAGCTTCTTAAACCGCGGCCCCCACTCGCTCAGGTAGTTGTAGTCCTGCTCGCCCTCCGTGGTCGCCGACTCCAGCGAGCTGAGGGACTCGGCCGCGGAGCCGGCGCCCTCGTAGGCGTAGGTGGCCAGGGAGTCGTAGGGCGGCGCCGTGGGGTCGCCGTCGTTGTCGTGGAGCCGCTGGTTGATGAAGTCCCTCACGTCGCCGTTGCTCTCCCGGGCCGGCGGGGGCGCGGGCCGGCGCGGCGGCGGGTAGAAGCTCTCGGGGACGATGTCCCGCCGCTGCTTGCTCTCCTCGATGGCCTCGGGGTTGCGCAGCGTGCCGATGTCGAAGGCCTGCGTGTCCTCCTCGCCGCCGCCCTCGTCGTTGTAGCTGACCACGTTGTCCCTGACGTCCTCCTTGGAGACGATCAGAGGCTCCTTCTTCCTCTGCCGCCGCAGGGCGGCGAACAGCACCACGATCACTGCGGGGAAAACGGAGAGCGGCGGTGAGTGGCTCCGTTGACGTCCCGGGACTTTGTAGAAACAAAGCCCAGCGGAGAGCCGTACTCACTCAGCAGGATGATGACGCACAGCAAAATGGCCACCAGGGCCCCCGTGCTGAGCCCCGCCCTCGCCGTCAGCGCCTCGGCGTTGCACAGCTTCATGTTGCCCTCGCGGTCGCAGGTGCACACCCTGACGGTCAGGGTGTTGGTGCTGCTCTGCATGGGGTACTCCCCGTCGGAGATGACCACCGGCACGTGGTAGACGCTCTTCTGCAGGCTGTTGTAGCTGTTCCTCCGGGTCAGGATCCACGCCGTGTTGTCTGCGAGCAGCCAACCGCCGCCGCCGCCCCAATTCACGTGGATGAACAAGAGCAAAGACAGTGGCTGTTATGCGAGATCCTCACGGGAGCGTTACGAGGAGGAGGAGGAGGTCAGCGGAACAACCACGAGGAGCAGCTGGCCCGTTACCTTTGTTGTCGCGCACGGAGAAGTTGGCCTTCCCGGCGGCCTCCTGCGCCAGGCTGAAGAAGAAGCGGTGGCCCCCCAGCGGCGTGTCGGGGTCCGCCGCGCTCACCGTCTGTATCCTCTGAAAAAGTTGAAGAAGAAGAAGAAGATGAAGACGAAGATGACCAATGAGGACAAAGCGGAAAAGAAAAAGGAAACCATGACAACGGCCCGGTCGCACCAACCTGATTGGCTTTGGCGTTCTCGCACACAAACGTCTCGTAATTGGCGGCGAAGGTCGGCGCGTTGTCGTTGACGTCGAGCACCCGGATGTAGACGGGCACGCGGCTCGTCTGCCGCGGGTTGTCTAGGAAACGGACACAGGGGGGAACGAGGGGGATGCACAGGTGATTATTTCTATACCGGACAACCGGTGAGACGTTTGGTGTCACCTGTAAGTATGAATACTGCAGGTACCATATTGACATAACTAGCTGGCTGAGGTGCTTCCTGTAGATGTTTCACAATAAAGGTCCAGCCAGGGAATGTTGTTTCAAACAGGGAGGTAAAAACCCACCAGCCCCCCACTGGGTTAACTGGCAGAACTGGGTGATGCTCTTCAGAAAACCTGGCACAGAATTTATTCTAAAAAACAGACTTGAGGAGGAGGAGCAGCAGGAGGAGGTGGAAGAGGAGGAGGAGGAGGAGGAGGAAGAGGAGCACTCACTGAACTCGGTGGCGATGACGGAGATGTTGTGCCAGGCGTTCTCCTCCCGGTCCAGCTCCCTGAGGAGGAACACCGAGCCGTTGCCCGCGTGGACGTTGAACATCCGGTCCATGTCTGTGCGCCGATCGATGGAGTACCTGCTCACACACACACACACACACACACACACACACACACGCAGGATTGGCCTCTGAACTGCAGCGCGTGGGCGTTGCCGGGGGAGCGAGGCGTTCAGGGCACGGTTTCTGGGGTGGGAGAGGAATCGCGCACGTTCAACCGTCTCGCTGGAATTGACGGTGAGAAGGTGGAAGGAACTCGGAACCCGGTCCGGCGGAGCGCGATGGACCTCTGCACTCGGACGTTATTTCTTTTCTTGCGCGAGAACGCATTAGGGGGGGGAGGATGAGGTTTTGCATCCATCGGAGCGGCGGTTTGAACTCAGACGAGAGGCCGACGTTGTTGAAGAGAAACAAAATTGGTTTCCTCCTGCACAAATGAGGCCGACCGCAGGCGGCAATAAAGCGCTGGTAAACACCCCGCGCCTCCCGTTTGAAGGGTCACTCTGCACAAACACGCCGACACACGCCGGCTCTTCCCAATTAGCCTTCGTCACACCCGACCCGTCAGCACTCTGGACACTCATCTTTCATTTTAACTCCTTATCTAAGATATGTAACCCAGCCTGAGGCGGCAGCGGGAGGGTTAAAGATAATGTAAATAACACACAAATGATCAAATAAAAGAGACTTAACGCTAAACAGCAAAGCGCTTTAACTGCAGAAATGTCAGTAAGGGTCAGAACACGAACAAGCACGGCTCCCGTAATCCTTAATCCCGCCCTGTTTATCTTGCATGCTTATAAAATAATGCCGTTTAAAATGCCCTGAAGGCCTCGCTGTCACGTCTGCCGCACAGTCTCATTGTCGTGCCGGAGGACGTTGCTTCTAGAAGGTGTCCCCCCCGCTAATTCCCCTCTGCTGTATTTAAATGTCACCCGGCAGCATCATCCGCACATCTGGACTCGCTGACGCTGAGGCGCCTTTTCACACATTCTCGATTTGAGGCAACTGCAAACAAAACGAAAATCTGGGACTTTCAAATGAGTGAAATTAGCAGAAAGAAGCAGCAGCTTCCTCCCTCTAGAAGCGGGCCGAGCGTGCATGGAGACACGTATGTGGAGGACGTCCTCGGGGACATCCGTCCCTCAGCTGGGCCGTGGTAGTGATGGATCACACACACACACACACACACACACACACTGGAGCCAACAGGTGATCCAGTGTGGTTGTTTTTCTCTCAGACTCCTGTGATACATCAGTGTGATTAATGGAGTAGCAGACATCGGG